TTTTTTTTTTTTTTTTTTTTTACGTAAAAGTATATATAAATATATACAAATCTTCTAATATTGTGGTGAACATATATTGAACATATACTCCATATACACATAACATATACTTAATAGTTTACAAAAACTTCTAATATATTGAACATATACTCAATATATACACCACATATACCTCATATACACACCTCTACTAATAGTTACAAAAAATCTTATAATATATTGAACATATACTTAATATACACACCACATATACTTTTTTTTTCTTTTATACATAAAAGTATATATGTCGTTTAAAAACATATTATAATATGTTACTTAAGATAAAACCCTACATACACACAACACCAACAAAAAAATTCAGTTTATGCTAAATATAAATAGATTTTATACATAAAAATGCAATAAATTTCTTTATCATATACCGTAAATATATTGAATATAAACCATACATATACAAAATATACTGAATATATGATAAATTTCTTTATCATATGTCGAAAATATACTGAATATGAACCATACATATCAAACCGTTTTTATTTTGCTGTATCATTGACATATTAAAAGTTTAATCTACCCTTCTTTCTACAGTACTGCTTTTCTTACAAAATATGGTTTATTTGATATGATTTGAGCATCAAATAAATCAAACTTTCATCCAAAGAAGGCACCATCTCCTCTTAAGAAGGCTCCTCAAGAGTCAGAGAAAATTAGTATGGTTCCATTCATTATAATTCCGTCACCGACGAAGGGCCGTACCATCTTCGGTGCACGCCGCATGAAGTCGTTATTGCCCACCGCACGCCGCCTGAAGTCGCCGACGACTCCCGATTTCTCACATCGACGGCGGACGATAAACGATAGAGCACGGATCCAACAACCTGCAAGATTAGAGAAAATGCAGTAATTAGTGAAGTGCTCAATCTAGCTAAACAAAAATCTTCATAAAAAAAACATAATTATATTGAAAATTTGGAGATGGGTTTTGCAGAGAGAGAAACATGACTCTTTCTCTCACTAGATTTTCATGGTTGTGGTTGGGTGGGAAAGCTAAAGACCAAGTTTCAAATGGGTCATCGGTAAATTCTATAAATTCTTTGGATGAAAGTGGTTTAGGATTGACAAGAGAACCTGAAAGTCTCAAACTTTATTCAATTAACAGCAATTACAAGAGAATTCCTCCTTCAAATTCGAACAGGAAAAAGGCAAAGAGAAAATGGAGAGAGAGAGAGAGAGAGAGAGAGATAGAGAGAGAGAGAGGAGTTGTTGGGTTGTTTAGAGTTTCAATTTTTCGTGCCAATGTTTAGGTAAGGAGATTCTTGATTGATTAGCATTTAATATGCCAGGAAAAAAAAGAATAACCGTTACATCCTAATTCAGGCAAAATTGAAATACTTTTTGCTTAGTTAATTAATTTTATAAATTAAAATATAAGAGGCATATAAGTGTAATAAAAATCATAATAGGTGGTAAAGGATACAAATTTCTCTTAAAAAAGTAAAGAAAAAGAGTTGGCTTTTTACAGGATAACATGGGCTATGAAATGCATCACCTTCTGAAGCTCAATAATGAAGCCGTTGGGCAGGAATAACCGGGTATGGTTTCTCGATTTTGCTAGCCGTTTTTCGGTTGAATCGACCGGTCCGACCCAATTTTGAAAAGAGAAGCGGATAAGGGGATAGAGATTGTAATCTCATAGATATGAAATGGAAATCACATCATAATCTTATTTTAATAATTATTTACACTATTTGCATATATGTAAATATCTCTACGATGGGGGTCGATGGATGTAATTTTCCCCAATTTAATCCTAAAACTTTTGGAACTCGGTTATTTAAAAGAATTATTTTTTAGTAGTTAGTTAGTTATATTGGGCAATTTGCATTTAGTAGTAGTTAGTTAGTTATTCGCCCAACAAAATGTCTACACAACTGGCCCAGATATAATGGGCCGGACACATTCACAGACTAGGGTTTTATAGCTCTGCTCTTGTTCAAAACTCGTTCATTCATCCCCGAGCTCTCAGATTCTCGTCGACGCCGTACTCAATCAGTTAGGTAAAAAAAAAAAACAAAAATCTCGTCAATTTGATATTACATTGTGTGCGTATTTTATGCTGGATGTAGTATTTATCTTTCTTATTCACGGTGTTTCTGCTACAGCCCAAAAAATGGCGAAATCGAAGAATCACACGGCGCACAACCAGTCGTACAAGGCCCACAAGAACGGCATCAAGAAGCCCAAGCGCCATCGCAACACCTCCACCAAAGGGGTACACATTTCATTCATTTTCCCTTCTGCCTTTCAGTTAACTCTGTGTGTGTGTGTGTTTTATGTTGTGTTAATTTTGTTTCTAAATAGATGGACCCTAAGTTTCTGAGGAACCAGAGGTATTCGAGGAAGCATAACAAGAAGAGTGGTGAGGAGGCCTGCAGCGAGGAAGAGTAAATTTCGAATTTTGTCGAAAAATTTAGCAGGACATGATTTTGTGTATGAGCTTATCATAAAATTCTGCAGCTTTGGATTTTGAGTTTGTGTTTTATGAGTTCTGATGTTATGTTGGTTAAATTACACTTCTATCTTTACTGTTATACTTAGATGAATTGTTATTTTACTTTGTTTCTGGAATGATTTCTCTGCATAATGTGATTATTTTGGTCTTCTTATGATTCTTAAAAGGTTCTTGAGAGCTTGATGCCAAAATATGATTCTTTTGTCGATTTTCTATGTGAGTGACTTTGTTCAATATTGTTACCTTATGCCTGCAGTTCGAAAATAAGTTTATGAGACATCGATGCTAAAATATGGTTTGTTGTTGATTTTCTTTGTGCGAAAGTTGGTTACATATATTTGCTTTATGCTTGCGAATTAAAGGTTCCTGAGAGCTTGACGTCCAGGATGACAAAACATATGCTTGTTTATTAGGAAAAAGTGTCGTGTAGTTTGTGGGTTTTTTTTAATGAGAAATGTTGCATTAGAACTGATTCGAAGCCCTATCATAAGAAGTTTAATTGAAAGTCTTCTTCTTGATAGCTCGGTGGGTTTCGAACCAATGCAGTTGGTGTTTTTAGCTATAAGAAACTGAAATTTGATTGAGGTTCACAAGAACTTCATTAGAAAGTTGATTATACAGTTTCATATAAATTAGAAGCTTCAATAGCTAGTCTATTGAGACTTCTATTTTTTGAGTAAGTGTTTTCTGGTTGTTTAAACTAAGTGGATTGGCTTTATATTTAGAGGTAGCATATATGGTACTACATGTATCATATGTAGCAAGCTTTGGTCTGTATTATATGATTTATGTCCTTATATGCAAGTCGATAAGTTCTGATTTGATCTCCAAAAACTGCACATTTGATACACTTATGGGGTGTATTCATTTAAAGATTTTCCAGACCTCTTTTTTTTTTTTTTTTTTTTTTTTTTTTTTTTTTTCGAAACGATAGAGGTTCCAGACCTCTTTTTAAAGTGAGTGACATTGCACATTTTATACATGAACAGCGCACTTAGTGCCACTTCAGCGCACTTGAGATAGGAAGCTTGGAAGTTCTAAAACCCACCTTATAATTGCTTCACCAACATTTCTAACATGATGCTGGATGATTGGAAAAACGTAAGTTTTTAGATTTGGGTGAGTGGAAAAACGTAAAACGCATGTATTGGAATAAAAAAAAAAATGTAACTTATGCATGATTAAACACATCATTGTACAGAACATTGGTATTTTGGTACATCGTCTATTGCATTGCATAGCCAAATATAACAGAGATTGTAAAATGTCGTTGTTGATAATCTAGAGCTTTATTATTTTAAAATTGTAAATTACTTAATTTATGGAAGGGAAAAAATGCTTTTTAAAATTGTAAATTATTAAAAAAAAAAAAGAGTAAAATTGTGTAAGTGTAGGCAACCAATTTTAAATTTGTATTCTAAAGGATTAAACAAAATCTAAATTTTTAGGATGTTTCAGTCCCATTTCATTTTGAATTTCAAATTAATATTATTTGACTCTGTTTATGCTTAAAAAAAATTCAAACTAAAGAAAGTAGTAGCCAAATGATAAGGAATTTTTAAATTTTAAGTTTTAATTTGAAATTGGGTCCGATTTTTACGCAATTCGATATTTTTTAATAAACATGATTTGTTGCAATTAGGTAAAGATACATGTTATTTTTACTTAATTCGAATTCTCGATTTTATTTTAAACAACTTTTTTTTAATAAAAAAGGAGAGAATTTTGACATTTACGAAATTGTCATGTCGAATTTTACCTCAATTAACCCGATTTCTATGCAATCAGATTTTTTTTTTAATAAACAATTGATGTGTTGCAATTAGGAAAAGATATATGTGATAGTATTTTGCTTAATTCGAAATTCCCGATTTTAATTAGTTTTTTTAATAAAAAATGAGAGAGAATTATGATTTTCAAAATTGTAAGCATTAGTCGAAATTTACCTCAATTAAATCTACAAAACCCGTGAATTTAGGATGCAAATATAGCAGATCGATTTTTTGAGAATAATTTAAAAAGAAAAATAAAAAGACCTGCCAAATAGAGAATATAATAAATGCTGATTGACTTTTTCGTAACAATTTTTGGTAAATAGGTCATCTTCTTATATATATTGATGGGTCTACTTCGAGATCAGAAGTGAACCAATGGTAATGGACTCCGATCTGCTCGAACCGTCTCCAAATCGCCGCAAACACCTGCAAGAACTCAACACCGGAAGTGTTTCCGGTGAAGAGCCTCCGACGCTCAAGTCAATATGAGAGTGATGAAGTGAGCTCTGCTTAGTAGGACCAGCAGCTGAGAGAAAATGAATGTAGAGAATGAAATTTAGGATTTGGGATTACCTCAGTCCCTTTATATAGAAGTAAAACACTCACTTGAAGTACCTAAAATGCCCTGGCCGACTTACGCGAAATGTCCAAAATGCCTGGTCAGTTCGTATTCTATTTACCTCTTAGTCAGCATCCAGATTCCTTCTTATTCTATGGAGACTCATATTTGTTTAGATGTTCTCTCAGGCCATACTGAAGTGTCGCTACTCGTCGGAGCTCTTTACATATCAAGACGTAACAAGTCGACATCGAATACCGTCGGGTCGACTTGGGGTATGCGTAAGCCCTTGGTTACCACTACGTTGTCATCTTGGTAGTGGTCGACTTCTTGGTGTCGTCTTAAAGGAAGTCGTCTTGGAGTCGTTGACTCGTGGAGAAACGGAAGCCAATGGGAGGAGTTGTCCTCATCAGAGTTAACTTGCGACCTGTCGACTCACAGATTTAACATTTGGTCGAGTAGTTTATACTTAGAACGGTACTCGATAATATGGCTATATTATCCAGTCCTCCCCTCCCCCCAAAATTACTCTAAGCGATACTGAGCTTAAGAGTAAATTTGTCAATGAGTTGATCCTTAATTGCTTTATCTCGAGTGACGCATTTCCAAGTAATCATTGCCTGGTATCGACTCCAATTATCCTTATAGCCCTGTCTTATCATTCGTCCTGTTTTTCATCCTCCCGTCTTGGTTCAGTCATCTCGGTAGCTTCCTTGTCGATTTTAGGATTTGGAAGTTCTAAAGTCTATTCTTCATGAGCAACTTTTTTGAATTTTGAATGAATTTCGAATTTCAAATTTCGATATCTTGATAATAATGGGCGCCGCTTCGAGAATTTGTCTCATCGTATTCTGTGCCTCCCTTCTCAACCGTTGGATCTGACTTTAATCAT